TACTATACTATACTATACTATACTATACTATACTATACTATACTATATGTTTCTATACCTCCATCTTCATCTTCACCTTTGCCACTATCTCTATTCTTGAAAAACCTTAAGGAAGATGTTAATATAATACAGATTGTGGTAGACCCTTCCATGATATCTCAAGCAACCTACTGAAACCATACCCTTATTCATTTCTGATTCAGATTTGCACCAACTCAAGAGTACAATCCTAACAAAATGATAATGCAGTTTTGTAGGTTCTGTTGAGTTTATTTGACAACTTGATCCATCTTTAACATGATTGAGTGCATATGTTTCTTTTTCAGATGCAGACACATGTTACTCATGTCTGATAAATCAGTATCCAAATCCTCAACGACATTCATGTATTCCAAAAACTTTCACTTTTTTATCTCTTAAAGAAAGTTTAGGGATGTCTTTGGCTGTTCTGGCTCTTTTCTTTTCTTTCCTAACTACCCTGGTGCTTTGGCTTTTTATTAAGCACCGGGACCTCGCAATAGTCAAGGCTAACAATCGGAGCCTCACCTATCTTCTCCTGGTTGCTCTCCTGCTCTCCTTCATCTGTGCTTTATTGTTCATTGGGCCACCAGAAAAGATTACATGTTTCCTTCGCCAAACTGCGTTTGGCATCATCTTTTCACTAGCGGTTTCTTGTATTTTGGCCAAAACCATAATTGTGGTCCTGGCCTTCATGGCCACCAAACCTGGATCTAAGATAAGGAAATGGTTGGGGAAAAGGCTGGCTTATTCCATCGTCCTTTTCTGCTTGCTTATTCAAATTATAATTTGTGCTACATGGTTGACAACAGCTCCTCCATACCCAGATGCTGATGTTTATTCACTGAATACAGAGATTATACTGGAATGTAATGAAGGCTCCTCTACCATGTTCTACTGTGTTCTGGGTTTCATGGGATTTCTGGCCATTGTCAGTTTTACGGTGGCTTTTTTAGCCAGAAAACTCCCGGACAGCTTTAATGAAGCTAAATTTATTACCTTTAGCATGCTGATCTTTTGTAGTGTTTGGCTCTCCTTCATTCCATCCTACTTAAGCACCAAAGGAAAATACATGGTAGCTGGGGAGATTTTTTCCATCTTGACCTCCAGTTTTGGGTTACTGGGATGCATCTTTTTCCCAAAATGTTTTATCATTTTTATGAAACCTGATTTAAAATTTAGAACAACTTTAACAAGAAGGAATCAATAAAAGAGAAAATTTCAAACCTCTCAATTTGGGGATTGTTAGGAGAACTTCAGGATACATTCTACATATGATGCTGTTTAATAAATGTGGAAACTTATCTTTTGTGTTGAATTATTTTGAATGGGAATGGGTAAGGTTGGTTGAGAGTCTCTTTTCCACTCCTTTAACATTTTCCAAACCTTACTTAGGATGATTATGTTTAGCACGAGATATATATATATATATATATATGATTTTCTCCAGGAAAATTGATAACTCTTCATAGTAAAGTGAAGCCCTACCATGAAGTCTGGGGAACCAAAACAAATTTTGGGAGGATGGAGCCCTTCGCATTCCTGTTTTATGCAACCTAGCAGGAAAGTAATAATGTACTTACAGAGAAGAGAAGATGGATACAAGTGATGTTTGACATCCTTCCATAGACTACAGGATCCTGGGATATTTCACAATTCTGTACATATTTTATATAGTCATCTCTAGATGAGATGGGCAGAAGATAAATCTAATAAATAAACAAAACAAACATTTTCCCCTCTGGGTTGGCCAGTACAGCGTGTTTTCACACAAAGATTATTTGAGTGAGATATCTTTTAATGCTGGCACTACACCACAAGTATCCTGGCACCATATAGAATACTAATCTTGCTAGTTCTTCAAGAGAATTCAAGGATATAACTGTGCCTTTAAAAAGGAGTGAAAGTTGACTGTTTGTTTCAGATAGAATACTTTCATGATTAATGAAAGTGTAATCCCATTGTCATATTGGTAGTCAACTTAAAATTAAAAGGAGAATCCTATAACCCTAAATTGTCATTTATCATTTCGATGATGATGGGGTTGGAACACTGTTTCCATCTGTCATGATTCAAGTTTATGTTTTTGTCAACAAAATATTTGTAGCAAAAATGAAGCTGTATGCAGAAAGGTCAACTCAACCTCTCTAGATATAACTGTGACTTTTGTTGTTATTTTTGTTTTGTTTTCTAAGGTGTTCAGCAGTGTTTGGAGTGTTTGCTGGAAAAAAAAAACACTTATCACTCTGGAAGGATACCAATGAGTTAATATAGGTTAGGGTTCAATTCAGCATAAATGGCACAATTTTTGATCAAGTTACTTTCATGTGCCCCTTTGTCAACTCTTCACAGGATGATTCCTAAATTGTTTTAATTATTGTTTTCCTCCTATGGCAAATACGATAAAAAATTAAGACCTTATCAATCTGTTTTGATTTTTATTAAGTAAGGAAACCAAATGAGTAATAATCTTCTATCATTCACAAGCTCATTGTTGTGTGTTGCCTGATAACATTTGTGGCTACAATCACAAAGTTTACTTAAATAAAATGAATGAAATTATATATAAAACTTCCTAGAGTAGTGTGAGTTAAAGTGTTTAAGTTATATAAGGTGTTAAAATTAATTTTCATTTAACTTGATAGGAGACACTGATCACAACTTATCCATGCAGTTTTGCTACTGCTGATAGACAGAAAGCTGTCAATTTAATTATGGTTATTTTGAAAATAATTATTGACACAAAGCTGCCGTTGCTTTGCAATCTTGGGTCTAGAGCAAGTTAGTTAACTTTTTTGTGGGCACCCACAAAAAAGTTAACCAACTTGCTCTAGACCCAAGATTGCAAAGCAATGGCAGCTTTGTGTCAATAATTATTTTCAAAATAACCATAATTAAATTGACAGCTTTCTGTCCATCAGCAGTAGCAAAACTACATATCATATTTAATGGATTTTCTAACCCAACAATTGATCTATATGTTCTGGGCTTTGTTTTCCAGGACAGCTTTTTGCAATAGTAGTTAGTTAAATCAAGGTGTGACCCTAAGATCTTCTCCTTTATCATTTTTTTTAAAAAATGAACAAGATGGTGGTGATAATAATGTTGGCATTAGCTTCGTTACCTCCTACGGCTAGCAAATGTCCTGTTGATAAGTGTGCCACTCGAGTGCTTCTTCCAATTCTTCACAAATATTATCATTTTGGAGAATTTAACATTGCAAGCATAACTTCTCAGAGTAATGTGCTTTCACGTGCCTTATCCTATGAAAAAATACCATCTCCAGAGTACTTTGATGATATTCCGTAAGAACCTGGGATATAATTGAATCACAATGTGTATCTCCCCTGATTCACTATCTGAGCAAGTTGCTTTATACATGAACTTTTATTCTGATTCATATCATTTGTAATATTACCTCATTCTAGTTTTAGCAGAGAAGCATAGTGATAGCATGTTCTTTTCTTAATAGAAGCCATACATTCTGTTCTTCCTAACGTTTGTGTCCTTCACTGTTGTTTCTGAGGCTGGACAGCTCAAGTTATATTTGTAACATCTTAAAGACTGTTGTGTGTTAACAAGGTTGTGGTTTTCCAAAAAAAGAAGCAAGTGTTTTCTGATGATATTTATTCAGGGTATATTTGCAAACAAGAGCTGCAGCCCTTATGTATATGATTTATGTAAACTGATTTATTTTTTAAGATGCACTTTTTTCAACGGCAATATTTTTTTATAATCATTTGCTTCAGCTTCCAAAATTACATCTGCTGAATTGAATGTATAGCTGCTATAATAGCTTTTCCCCCCACATTAGTGAAAATGACCAACTTTTCAAAACTGTCGAACTGTATTTTCAGTTGTGGGCAAATTGATGGAAACAGAATTTTGAACTGGAGATGAACAATTCTGGGAACTTGTTTGTGTCTTGGATTATAAACAGAAATTAGTTATTCCCAATTGTTAATTTTTTTAAAGGATCTTTTTCTTCTCTCTGCTTCTCCTTCTTCTCAAAATATCTTCTTAGCACATTCATGTATTTGTATACCTGCATGTCTGTGGGGGTGGGGGGGGGGGGGGTAAGTGGATGGGTATTATATCCATGTGATAACAGAAATACGAATTGTTCCCACATACTGAATCAAACTTTCTGAAATATGAGCTATTTATGTCCCTAATAATATGTGCCATCATAAACCTGATGGTCATGAAGATGCTATGCTAGGCTTTTTTCCTGTTGCTACCCTAGTATATTATCCTCCTTTTTAAATGGAATAGATCATAAGAATCTGACTTTTACAATGCTCTGGAGCTCAGGTTAAGATATTCAACAAATGTTAGAACACTGGCTTTAGTATCATAAATAATGCACAACTCTCTAGTCAGCCCTGTGAATGAATGAAGGAGTATCATTTATAATCTTAACACAAATGTGTGAATCCAATGCAGATGTAAATTTTACTGAATGCAGGCAGATGCAGATTTCCAAAAACATGTAACAACACTGTTGTGTTCATGCTAGCTAGAAGTTCCAAATTAAATTCACAAACAAATTTCAAAAAGTGATACCTTACGGGAGTGTATTTTCTTTTGCAAGTTACACTTCCCAACATAAGAGCTACATAATTTATTTCTGATAGAGTATCATTTGTTTGATATATATTTAATACATATATTGCTATGTTGAACAAATATAACATTATGAAGCATATGGTTATGTCTTATGTGCTTTTTGTAGAGTATTGATTCAGCATTACCAGCATATTCTGGCACTGGTATTTGCTGTAAAAGAAATCAATGAAAACCCACATATTTTGCCAAACATCACTTTGGGCTTCCAGATCTATAACAGCCATTTCAGTGCAAGCTGGACTTATCTTGCTTCAATGGAATTGCTCTCCACTCAAAAGAGATTCATTCCAAACTACAAGTGTGACAGTATAAACAATGCAGTTGCAGTCATTGGGGGACCTAATTCAAATGTCTGCCTTCATATGGCCCCCATTCTTGATCTCTACAAGATCCCACAGGTAAGGAACATCTGTACCTCTGATGCTTCCCTTATTGGCATGATTAAAATGAGGGGAAAACTCTGTGACTTTTTTTTTTTTTTTTTAGAGTTAAGGCTCACCTGTTTACTTTCATTCTTCATATTTGAACATCAGAATTCATCTGATTATAGAGACTAAAATATTTATCCTGTGATCAAAATTTGCATCATGTCAACTATTTTTTTGCAGAATGTATGTCCAAAATATGCCAAAATGGAAAATAATAGATTTTTATCTTTGACTTTTCATAACTTGATTTAGAAGACTTTTAGTTTCTGGAAGCTAAAAGGAACTAGCAATGTTTTATGTAATCAAAAACTTGCACTAAAGTGTTTACATATACAGAGGTGGGGTATTTTTTGGTGGGGGGGTTGGTTTCTTCCTGTTGCTATCTTCTATTATTTCCTACTGATATCTCATAGAAAATAGGATATAGATAGCTATAATATTAAAGATATATTAACAGAATAACTCTTTCCTTTCATCATTTCTTCCTATTCATCTTCTCTCTCCCCTCTCTACTGCAATGTAACTAAAATCCTTTCTCAACATTCTAATAATCTCATGCAAGAATTCATAATTTAATTTTGAAGTATCTCAGACTCTCGGATATCTAAGTCTGACTCAGGTATTCCTTTGGAAGCAAATTGTTTGCCATTTGTACTAGTATTAAAAAATCCTCTTCATCGCTCAGCTCTAAAACAATTTTATTTTTATTTTTTATTTAGTTTAGTTTGTCAAGCATGTATGAGAAAACAAGTATAAGTATGGACATAACATATAAACATATAAGTATAAATGGATGTATATACATATACATATACATATACATATACATATACATATACATATACATATACATATACATATACATATACATATACATATGTTTTCTTAAGTTTTCGTGGGTATTTATATGTATGGTATTCAGCTTTGTTCGGGTATTTTCCCACATCATTGTAGTTGTGCTTTTAAAGTTGTAGCAACGTTTTGGCAGAATCTCATCTGCCATCATCAGGCTTCTGTATTGTGTTCGTCTGAACCTATTGTGATGAACACAATACAGAAGCCTGATGATGGCAGATGAGATTCTGCCGAAACGTTGCTACAACTTTAAAAGCACAACTACAATGACGTGGGAAAATACCCGAACAAAGCTGAA